AAAGGATAAAATGCTTCTATTTCTCAAGCTTAGCTTTCAAAATTAAACATTCAAATGAAAAAATAACATTGCTTCAGTAGATGTCAGTGATTAAACTCATGAAAACAGTTCTTTTCAGAGAAGCTTCATAATGCATCTGGAGTATTTCTTCCCTTCATCCTAATCTGACCCAATTCTGAGCTTCTCTTTTAAGTGCATCTTGACTTCATTGTTTCCAAAGTTGCCTCACAGAGATGAGCTTCTTTTCTGAACAGAAACCCCTGGGGAAACTTCTAGGGGTAGGGAAGGTTCCAGGGGACCTTTCGGTCTCTGAGGTCGGCTGAATGAGGCCTCCTTTCTTTTAGGGAATGACAGGCTTCTGCACACCCATCCCTAAACCTGTAAGCATACAGTGCCTGTGAGTACACAAGGCCACCCCCAGTTCCCTGAGGTGCCATGGCCTGCCCCCCTCTGTACCCCACAGTGTCAGCGTCAGGGAGCCAACTAGTGTCCAAGATGTTTGTAAAAGCCTTGGGAAACCTGAGGAGATGGAAAGGCTGCTTGTCAGGATCTTCAGAAGATCTGATCCAACGAGACAACATGGACCTTTCGATTCCCTTAAGAAAAATTCTGTTTGAAAGAGAAGAAATACGTCTGAGGCCAATAGCTATCTGCTCAAGGACAAAAGACCTCTATAAATTTCCTCAGTCTTGTCTGACTCCCTCAAGGGAGATGATTAGAAAAGGTCAAAGTGATTTAAATTGGTTTCTATAAGTCAAATAAATAAATTACCATTAAGCATCCACCATATTTGGGCACTGGGGATACAAGGATAAATGGCGTGTGCCCTGCCCTCAAGGAACTTACAAGGACTTCTCTGCATACCGTTCATTTAGAATGGGGTGTTTTATTCCCCAACAGAAAAAAATCACTGCTAAATGGATTTCACACTTCTCTGACCTTTTGCCAGTGACTCCCAAGTCTTCTTTTATTTATTTTTTTAAATTTTTTTTAATGTTTGTTTATTTTCCAGACAGAGGGAGACAGAACATGAGTTGGGGAGGGGCATAGAGAGAGGGAGACACAGAATCTGAAACAGGCTCCGGGCTCTGAGCTGTCAGTACAGAGCCCGATGCGGGGCTCAAACCCACGAACCGTGAGATCATGACCCGAGCCGAAGCCGGATGCTTAACCGACTGAGCCACCCAGGCACCCCTCCAAAGTCTTCTTTTAAAATGTCAGCCCTAATAAGAGGAGGCCCCCTAGAGAGACTAGAGCAGCCAGAAATCTGAGAGACATCCCTGACGTTTCCTTCTCCCTCATCCCTCAGATCCAATCAGTCATCCTGACCTGGAAAGTCTACCTTCTTGATCTTTCACATCGTACACATTTCTGCATTTCCACTGCTGCTGTCTTAATTAGGGCTTCATTGCATCGTGCCTGTAATATTTTAAACGCGTTCTGGCCCATCACCCAGGCTTCAGTTCTATCTAGCACTTAACCATTCTCCATACTATCATCACTGCCTTTTTATTTGTCAACCTTTCTGCTAGATTATAAACCCTTGAGGGCAGGTGCCGAGATTTCAATCTCTGTATCCTGGGCACCTAGTGTAGCAAAAGGCTAATAACAGGCATTATTAAATGCGTGCTCATTAAATATATGCAAGAATGGTAGGTCAAATATGTGTGTACCGAATGTCTCCACACGACACATTTTACAGTTTCTCCTTTTCAGTTTCCTCTCTGATGTCAATAAACACTTTGTGTTTGGGCAGCATATCTGCCTTTCGTTCACTCATCTCTTCTCCCCTAAAAAATTGTTGTTTTAATCTGCTGTGGCCTGCCAAACCAGACCGTCAAAGTTATTTAGAATCGTATAAAGTAAGGTGAAAAGGCTCTGCCTGGGTCCCTCTTCTACAATTAAAGCAAATGAGCTTCAGTGCACTGGTTTTGCAAGAGCTGTCTCAACACTTCGGGGAACTTTGTTCCATCGCTGTGTTCCAGATCGTAGGAGCTGTACATAAGCCTGAATTCCAAGTAACTAAGGTGCTGCTATATTCAAATATTTTGTAATCAGTGATTTTAATTTGTCCTTTGATTTCAACAGAATCTTTCAAGTTTGCTTCTGGAAATGTATAGAAACTCTTGGTTTTACTGCAAATTTTTAATGTTTATTTATCTTGAGAGAATGTGCACAAGCAGGGAAGGGGCAGAGAGAGAGGGAAACAGAATCCCAAGCAGGCTCCACCCTGTCAGCACAGAGCCCCACTCGGGACTCAATCCCACAAACCGTGAGCTCATGACCTGAGCTAAGATTAAGAGTTGACACTTCACCAGCTGAGCCACCCAGGTGCCCTGTGATTTTACTACATCTTTTAAATGATAAATATGAATCTTGCCAGAAAATGTTATTAAAATTTATCTCACTGGAAAATATTTTATGTTGCTACCTTTATTTATACATTTTCTGTTTAATTTTTTTACACACAGTTTAATGTTAAATGAGTTAGCAAAAAAATCCATGTTAAATAAATTTAGAGGATCCTCAACTAACAATGCATGGACATTGCATTATTCTGTTGAAAATCTCCACCTAATTCTATTCTTTTTTTTTAATTTGTTTTTTTTTTTAATGTTTATTTATCTAGGGAGAACATGAGGAGGGGAGGGGCAGAGAGAAAGGGAGACACAGACTCTGAAGCAGGCTCCAGGCTCTGAGTTGTCAGCCCAGAGCCTAACATGGGGCTCAAACTCACAAACTGGGAGATCATGACCTGAGTGCAAGGCAGATGCTTAACCAATGGAGCCACCCAGGTGCCCTTCTATCTAATCCTATTCTTAATGTGTTTTTTGTCAATGGAGAGCTGAGCCACGCAACCCTGAAATACTTCTCAGAACACAGTACTGGTTTCTGCTTTTCCTTTATAAACTGTGGTTGGTTATATTTAGGAGTGGAGATTCTGAACACCCTTGGAAAAATAAGTTAAGCATGGAAGTGAGGCCAGGTTATCCTCCATGTAAGCATTTTAATTGCCTCAATTGAGAACACAAGCCCAGCCCACAGCACTTCCTTTGAAATTGCCGGCCACCTAGACCCTGCAAATGTAGGCCAGGCCAGCCAGGTATGTGTGTGTGGCCCCAGCCAGTTGGAACAGAGGGACATCCAATACGAGACCAAACAATCCATAAGTTGGGCTAAGCCAATTATATTCTTTCTCTCAGAAATGGAGAGTCAGGGCTCTGAGGCAGAATTAATGGGTTACTGTTGAACACTTGACAAAAGGTCATATAGTCAGGATGAAAATGGCCTTGTTGGGCTATATGCGACCAGGAGAAGCTGATGTGGGGAGAGAGGAAGCAGAGAGAAGAACCATTTTGAAACCCTTAGGAGATGCACAAAGTGTGACTTCAACTCAGAGAAAAGCCAGCTGTATAATTCAGAACCCAGTGCAAAATGAAAATGTGGAGCCCTTTGTTCGAAAGCAAGGGGAAAATGCTATTAAAGGTACTGAAATATGAAGGCTTTTCCTTTAAAATATTTTATTATTTATAAAATGTATACGGGCATATTATCTCAGGCTGCCTTAACAGAACTCTACAGACTGGGTTGCTTATGCAACAGAAATTTATTTTCTCACAGCTCTGGAGGCTAGAAGTCTTAAGTATGATCAAGGTGCTGTCAGGGTTTCTGATAAGATACCTCTTCCTGGCTGGCACACAGCTGCCTTCTTGCCATGTCTCACATAACCTTTCTTCTGCATGCACACACACACACGCACACACACACACACACACACACACACACACAGAGTGAGAGAGATTTCTAGTGACTTTTCTTCTCATAAGGATACTAGTCCTACAGGATTAGAGCCCAGCCCTCATCACCCTACTTGACCTTAATTACCTCTTTAATGGCCCTGTCTCCAAATAGAGTCACATAGAAGGTTAGGACTTCAACATATGGATTTGGCAGGGGGATACAATTCAGTCCATAAGTAGGGGTAATTGTGATACATAGGTAACAGTATAAACTTACAAACTGAAGAAAATATCTTTGGTGTCATAATCTTTATAATATAATAAATAAGGCTTCATTAGTGTGATAGCTTGATTGATTGTAAGACTCTTCTGGCTCATTTCTGCAAATATATTTATTAAATCATCAACATTTTTACTTTTAGCAACTTCATTTTCTTTTTTTTTTAATTTTTTTTTAACGTTTATTCATTTTTGAGACAGAGAGAGACAGAGCATGAACGGGGGAGGAGCAGAGAGAGAGGGAGACACAGAATCTGAAACAGGCTCCAGGCTCTGAGCTGTCAGCACAGAGCCCAACGCGGGGCTCGAACTCACAGACCGCGAGATCATGACCTGAGCCGAAGTCGGCCGCTCAACCGACTGAGCCACCCAGGCGCCCCGCAACTTCATTTTCAATCTATGTTATTGAAAGCAATGTGAGTTGTTCTTGGAAAATTCAAGATTGCAAACAATTTTTGATGATTTTTAATATTTAGGAGGATTTGTCTGCTGATGCCACAGTTACTGAAGCTGTTAAGAGTATCTTATAGGTGAGGCGCCTGGGTGCCTCAGTCAGTTAAACATTAGACTCTTGATTTCTGCTCAGGTCATGATTTCACAGTCTTGGGATTGAGCCCCCTGTCAGGCTCCTTGCTGAACCTGGAGCCTGCTTGAAGTTCTCTCTCTCTCTCTCTCTCTCTCTCTCTCTCTCTCAGCCTCTCCCCCATTCTCACTCTCTCTCTTTCTCTCTCAAAATAAATAAACTTGGGGCGCCTGGGTGGCGCAGTCGGTTAAGCGGCCGACTTCAGCCAGGTCACAATCTCACGGTCTGTGAGTTCGAGCCCCGCATCAGGCTCTGGGCTGATGGCTCGGAGCCTGGAGCCTGTTTCAGATTCTGTGTCTCCCTCTCTCTCTGCCCCTCCCCCGTTCATGCTCTGTCTCTCTCTGTCCCAAAAATAAATAAAAACGTTGAAAAAAAATTAAAAAATAAATAAATAAATAAACTTTACATAAAAGAGTATTTTATAGGCTATGAAAACATTGGGATAAATTTCCAATTAATTATATTAAAATATAAATATTAGAAATATATGTGTAAATATTAGTACATCTAAAGCTGATGATTCTTGCAGAACAATTTTTCTGAAAAAACTTGTCTTCATACAGATCATTTTCATGTCAGTCTAAATTTAATTTTAAATGTAAACTTATACCATGGCATTTTAACATTTCTTCTTACATTTCCTGTAATTTGTGGAGGTTATACAAGAAATGGACTTCATGATTTATATATAATTCAAATACTTGTTTACACATTCTATCACTGTATATTCAATTACAAAGGAAAACTAATTTCAAAATTATCTTCATTAAAACGGTTTCATCTGATGCTTCATAGGAAAATAGCGTTCTATTTCATGAAGTGTGATCATCGTTACATTTAATTTCTGTTTCTAAGTTTATGGATATTTGTTTTACGGTGCTGCAGCAGTTAGCGAAAACAGAGGTTTTAAACTATGAAGAATTCTAATTCCTCCTTAACAGGTTTTGTTGAAATGTCCATGTGTACGTTTTCATTCTGCAATAATTTTGCTGACAAAGTTTTGCCACGTGAGCTCTAAGAGTTCCTGGCCAAAGCGTTAAGATCTGTGCCAATGCCCCAGAGACGGGCTCCAGAGACACACTGGCAAACTGGCCTCCTGCCATGGATCCTGGCACTGGGGTCCCTCCTCTCTCCAGGGCTGTGACTACTGCTGCCCCTGCTGCTGCTGCTGTGGCTGCCCTCACCATCACCGTCACCACCACCACACCCAGCCCAACTCAGGTCCCGGGCATGGCGTGTAGAGCCACGCTAACGGCGCTCCGCCCACTGCTCACCAGCTACAGGTCAACGTGAAAGCATGCTTTTTCACATATCTCCTCTGCGCAGGTGCATGTTCCATTGTCCATTCAAACTTAAGTTACAGAATACAAGCTCCTCATCGGCCAGTTCTGGCACAATCCCAGGAATTCAAGGGGTGCCTGCATCTTGGCCTGGGATGCCCTTAAGATGGCCGGTTGTATTTTTGCAAAAACAAAATAAAACAAAAACCTCTGCTGGATGGACGCTGCTGGATACCCAGTCACTGCCCATCCTTTACTAAAAGAAAAATCGTTCTTTTCAGGGACACCATGTGCCACCTTCCCAAAATTCCTTACATCTAAAGGGAAGTACGGAATTCAGAGCCGATGAAAAATAATCGAAAAGTCTGCCAGAGATTTCTGGGAAATGGTTGCTTTCCTGATACACGTGGGCTTCATTCTGTCCCCTTCTTCTTCCTGCCAGGAATGCAGGCATGAGGCTGGAAGTAGAAGAGGTATCTGGCCATCCTGAAGCAACCAGCAAGAAGACAGAGTAGGAACACGGATCACTCAGAACATCAGGAAGCAGCTACACCAACCCCACACTGCCCATCTCTAAACTTCCTGTTAATTAGAAACACAAACTCTTCTCCTTAGTACCGAGTCCGGCTTCTAACACATGCAGCCAAATGCAATCTTAATCGAGACCCTTTTACTGACGTTAGCTCGAGTCCGTTTTCGTTTCTTGGAATCCGCCGTTTGTGCTCCACGCATGTGCTGTGGGATCCCTTTCCTGTACAAGCCTTCTCTCAACGGGACTTTCACGCCTACCAACCAGCTCTTTAGAGGGCTGCCCTCAGATTTCCTAGCCTGTTGGGCTTAAAAGTCATAATTTCATAAGAATGTGCACCCCCTGGGTGCTCTTTGTAACCCTTGCCCCAATCAGGACGGTTTTACTGCAGGATTGAGTAAGAGTTATTCCCTGCGGGACTTTGATATGACACACGTGCCAATCCCCATCCCCCACCGGTTTCGTGTCCTAACAAACTACTTTCACATGGGGGCCCTCCTCTCTCCGGGGCTGGGAAATCTCAGGGTCCACTTCTGGGAAATCCAACCTAAGATGCAATGCACAGATCCCTGAATAGAATAGGTATCACCAGCTGCTATAAACTGAATGCTTGTGTCCCTTAAAATTCCTTTGTTAATACCCCCCCCCCCATTTTTATGCATGCACCAATGAAAGGCCATGTGAGGACATAATCAGGAAGAAGGACCCTCACTAAGAACCTGGGCTTGCTGGCACTCTGATCTCAGACTTATAGCCTCCAGAAGCATGAGAAATAAATGCGCATTAAGTCACTCAGACTATGATAATTTGATATAGCAGCCCAAACTGACCAAGATATTAGGGATTTAAAAGTAAAAGCCAATCAGTTTTGACACTGGTTGTACGATAGTTCAAATACAACGTGATACTTCAAATAAAAATACACTTATTAGTTTAAACATCACACAAATATAATCACCATAAGAAGAGAATGCCACTATCTCGATAGCAAAAAGATGAACAAAATATGAAATATATGTCGGCCAAAGTGTTGATTTAGGGCTGTCTTTCACATCTCGCAACATCAGTAGGAGGAACACTCCAGTATGGCACTGGCTTCAGGGGGACCACAGTTTGTCACCTTCAACCCCCTCATCACCTCCCAGTACTGTACTTTCCTAACCCTCAAGTCGTAATTAGCTTGCTGCTCTTTTCTGTTGGCCATTTAAGACATGCATTTGAGAGTTTTGTTTTGTGTGTGAAAGAAAATTTAACAGCTTTATTCACAGCATGATTATCTTTTATCTCGGTGCTATGAGGCATATCTCCTTGATGTCAGCAGGGTTGGGAATTATTTTTAAACGACTAAATCAATACTTTCATTGAGGAAATTGAACCGTGCTGGCTTGTAAGCTCAAGATGAAAAGCTGAATCCCTTTCCAATAGCTTACTTCTGAGGGCTGAAATTAGGACAGATGGCTGGCTCAGTGTCCCTTGATATGATTTGATTACCTGTCACTGCCAGATGCCCAGTCTGAGGTACGTGAAGAGAAGCACAGACAGACAGCTACAGTTCCACTGTTTAGGAAGCAGAGGTACCGCTTCAATTCAAAGACTGAAAAGCAAAATATGCCTTCAGGTTTTAAGGAAATACAAATTTTTGAAAATGGGAAACGTCCTCCTATCTTAAGAGGTCTGTCTCAACATATTCCCTCTTGACCATTGGTTTTAACCGAATCTCTGTCATTCTAGAGTTCTACCAAGCTAAATTTACAAAATGTCCCAATAAAAAGCACCATTAATTTCATAAACAAATAGAAGTATAGGGCTGGAAGGAAACGTCTGGATCATTCAGTGCTGAGTTCAACCCTTTTTGTTTTTTAGGAGGCCAGTGACCTCCTGGAGTTCTGGTATTACATAGTCACGAACTTCAACCCAGCAAGATGATGTGTGCGTGTTAGCTTTTGGCAGCGTAAATCAAGAACCTCCAACTTCCTTAAGTAAAGGAGAAGGTATATGGTTGAAAAAACTCTGGAGGTTCTCACAAAATCCAGGGGCAGAGAGTATAAATAAGACTCATTGGAAACATGAGAAACTCAAAAGCCCTCAGGATCCCACCCTATGCCTTCTACTTCTCAGAAACCACAAGGTTTCCTGGATATCTGTTGTTCATCTGGCATGTGACTCAACGCACTTCAGATCACATACCCACCACTGACTGACTCAGTGTCCCAAGTCCCCGACAGGAAAATCTAATTGGCACGACTCACAGTCGTGACAGCCTGGCCATTTGGGAGTGTACTGAGGGACCTCTGACCGGGGGGCCAATTCTAGTGCAGTTACCTGATGCTTGAAAGTGGGGAGGCCGGGTTGGTTGTTCAGCTACAGAAGAATCCCAAGGCAGAAAACAGTTGGAATCAGGACACCTGGGTGGCTCAGTCAGTTAAGCATCTGACTCTTGATCTCAGCCCAGGTTTTAATCTCAGGGTTGTGAATTCCAGCCCTGCATTGGGCTCCATTCTGGATGTGGAGGAAAGAGAAAGAAAGAAAGAAAAAGAAAGAAAGAAAGAAAGAAAGAAAGAAAGAAAGAAAGAAAGAAAAAGAGAGAGAGAGAGAAAGAAAGAAAGAAAGAAAGAAAGAAAGAAAGAGAAAGAAAGAAAGAAAGAAAAAGGAAGGAAGGAAGGAAGGAAGGAAGGAAGGAAGGAAGGAAGGAAGGAAGGGAAAAAAAGAAAGAAAGGAAGAAAGAAGAAAGAAAGAAAACAATTGGTATCTCTAATAACATGACATGATTTGTTCTCCTGGAAAGTACTGTAAAATTCAAAGAAATTATATAATGCTTAAGTAGAGTTTATGGAACACAAGTGTAGTCCATACGGTTTATCTTTATTACTGCAATATATCACATCTATATATTTTAAAATAGGAAAATTATCAATAGGTATCAATAGAGATTTGGTAAAATTTGATAACAATCCATAATATTTAAACTTAAAAAAATTGTTAAAATATCATTAAAAAGGCAAATGAGGGGTGCCTGGCGAGTTCAGTCAGTTAAGCATTTGACTCTTGATTTCGGCTCAGGTCACAATCTTACAGTCGTGAGATTAAGCCCCACATCAGTCTCTGTGCTGAGTGTAAGGCCTGCTTAAGATTCTCTTTATTTCTCCCTCTGCCCCTCTCTCACTTGCACTCTCTTTCTCTCAAAAAGAAACAAAGAAACAAAAACAAGCAAATGACAAACCAATAATAATATGTAATAGAAAAGAGGTTAATATCTTTAGAATAGAAAGAGATCTTATAAGAATTATTTTTAATTAGCTGCTCAGTAAGAAGAAGTGAACAAAGAATGTGAAAAGGCAATTCATACACACAAAATACTCAGCCTCATGAAAGATTAAAATACAAAATAAAACAGTGCTAGAGTACTATTTTTACTCATCAAGTAGGCAAAGATTGAAATAGTGTTTACACCTAAGGTTGTTTAGGGGTCGGTAAAATATACAGTCTCGTGCAATGTTTTTGGAAGCATATATTGGTAAAACTTTCTGGATAACCTTCTGGAATTATTCATCAAAAGCCTTAAAACTGATTAGGTAATTTTAGTAGAAATTTCAGATGTACTCAATATTTATGTTAGTAGATGCTTAACATTACACCATTTAAAATACAGGAAAACTATAAACATTAAAAATGTATAACAATTAAGAATTTTAACAATTTATGATGCTATAAAAATAGAGATAACATGAGAAGATAGAAAAGAATATACACAAAGTTGTTTATAGGCTTACTTCTAGGTGGAATTTTTTTTTTTAGCTGTGATTTGTATTTTTGTCTTTATACCTTTTTATATTTTCCAAAACTTTTATAACATATAATAATTTTGCTATCAAAAAGAGGAAAAAAGGTAAGCATTCACAAAAATGCAAAAGGAAAATAAAATTTGGAAATTGAAAAAATGGGGAAATATTGGAGCCATTGTCTTTAAAATCAATACCAAAAACAATAAAATTAAATTTAAAAATGAAATATTTTTAAAAAATAAAATAAGTACCAATAAAAAAATGTCAGATGTAAAACTATTATTTAATATGTTTCTATCCCATCAATCCAAGAAATAAAAAAGAATAGGATAGAGGTTAATCCTTGGAAAACAGGTTAGAAAAACTAGCCAGATACAGCAAGATAGCCTTCTTTAAAATAGCAATCATGGGTCAGAAAACGTTAAGTAGCAAAGAGGACAATATACAAACTTGTGATTCCCAAAGATATTCATGTCTAATTTACCTTCTAAAATATTGTTATGAGGATTCATGTAAGGAAAATAATAAATAAGATAATAGATTTGAAACCCTTCTTATATTTTAAAAAATGGTGTGATGGTAGTAATAATAATTCTCTGGATGTGTTGTTTTAAACAAGAAATATATATAAAATTATGTGATCCCTTCCAAGCAATAGTCACTATTCTCCCACTTGCCAAAAAATAGATTTTATATTAATGTGTACCCATTGCTGATATCCAGGAGAACAGAGATGTAAAATGAGTGGCTTATAGCAGAAAAATGATTTCTATCCCCTCCTGGCTCTCGCCACCCTGCACCCTCCTGAGCTTGGCACTTAGAGAAGTCAAAACATAGAGGGCATTGGGGTGTGCAGTTCTAGACGGAAGACGTCAGAACTGCACAGAAAATCCACTAGGAGTGTATGTGATTTGATTGTCTTCCAGAGGCTACACATACAATACCCAAGGTTATTTCCAGCCCACCCGCCACCAGAACAGGTGAGGGAGTGGTCTTCTTTTCTAGAGGCAGCAGAGGTCAGAGGGGCTAGAAGGCATGACAGGGAGGAGGCAGGGGTGCAGGTAGAGATGACAGTGTCTAAATAGAAAGTGGTATCCAAGAGGGTAATGTGGGTCCTTGGTCTAAGGGCCAAGACTGAAGGACCATCCCTCATTTAGGAGCTGAAAGATGGGTTGGACAGTGTATAGGAGCCTAACCACCCCCCTTGCCCACCCCAATGTCCTCCTCGGGTTCTGAATTGGTTGGAAGACAAAAACTCAAACCTGAAGTCAAGAACTGTTTTGAGCCTGAACTAACACACACCAAATAAAAAGCAATTCTAAAACAGAGAATTATTAATAAATTAATAAAACAGTATCTGAGTACCTATTCCCAAGTGTCTTTTACTTATCTAATACTCTCTTCTGCTTCTCCATCAACATCTGGCTCAAAACTCAATTTCCTTCATGCTTCCTTAGATCTATGTAGTAAAAACCAAACTACTAAGTTCAAACCCCAGCCCCATCACCAACTGTATGATTTCCAAGACTGTTTAACTTCTTTGTGACTCATTTTCTTCAAAATAAGGAGTAAAACATTTATTTATAGGGTTGCCAGAAAAGTAAGTAAGATAGGGCAAGGAAATCACTTGGAGAGTGCTCAACACATAATGATTGCACCATAAATGGTGGGGTTTTTTTTTCAGTGAAATAATGTTTTGTTTTTAACATTATACTTTGCAAGCTCCATAACATCACTAACAGTTACGAAGTACATGGAAAGAGCTAGAGAAACTTTCACTCACTAGGATTCCTCTGCAGAAGTGCTCTATTTTTATTTGAAAATACTGAAATATTTTGATAAACTGCTTGGAATCGAGGGTTAGCGCCCCAAGACCATGCTTCAGTTGAGAAATATCCTAAATGGAGGCTCAAGAGGCAAGTTGAGTAGTTTGTTTAGATTCTGAGGAAGAAGGACGAGAAAAGGAGAAAAGCAAAATGAGAGGCTGAGAGAGGGAATAAAGAAAGCGAGAGAGAAACTCCAGAATTTCATGCCCAGGTTAACTAATCAGGCGGACAACACAAGAAGAGGGTGTCCATGGCTATGTTGTCTAGTCTAGGAGAACATGATCTCCTCTGGGGATTTTAGGGAGGATTTTTACATAGTTTTGTGCAGTCCACTCATTTTCCAGAGGGACAAATGCCAGAGGTGAATGCACAATTTCTTTTGGTCTAGAAGCTGTCCAATCAACCCGGTCACGTGCCCCGAAAAACTGATGAGGCAACGTGGGCTGTGAAGCACTGGAATGAGAGGGGGACTGGCTTAAAATACCCACTTCCAAACAGCGATGGCCAATATATGTTGACTCAGCACTTCCCCTGACATTTTTGTTTTCAGCCTCCCAGAGAGCCCTGTCTCTTTAGAGAAATTAAGACAACTTGAGGTGTCCACGTACTCCACCGTTCTGGGGCACAACTGGCTTGCGCCTGTGCCCCCCCCCCCCCACCCCGCCCGGCTCAGTTTCTCTACCTCAGAATACTTACTTGATTTCAGAGCACAGGCTCCAGTTGGGAGAAACGAGCCCCTGTTTATCAGTTTATATTTGGCAATTTATACAGGCTCAACTAGCCTAGCGATGGCCATTTGACTATACTAATCAGATTCCATCAAGGCAAAAACTCTGAGACTCATGGGACAGATATTAAGTAGACCATCTGCAGGTAGAATCAAGATCTGCTCCAACCGAGTCACAAATCAGAGACTGCGAACCGGAAGAGCCCGGAAGCCCGGAGTCTCTCTTACTCTACACTGGCTGCTCCGTGATCGACGTGCCTACTTCACTCCCCGTGGTCACTTCCCAGGCGCGGGCACTGTGAACTGGGGTGACTCGGTTCAAAAAGTTACTTACGTTTTCTGAGGAGTGAAATTAAGTACAACGGCAATGAAGATTACTGGAAATTGCTTTCACCTCAAAAAGAAAAAAGTCTCTCCCCACCCTTTCCAGAACCAACACAGGCACAGCTCCACGCAGCCAAATTCCTGAGCCCTCATTTAAGATCCTATCGGTGATCCACACCTGTGGTTAGGTGATTAGCTTCGGTGCTTTTACACTCCAGCCAGATGCACTGGAAAGACACGAACGGGAGTTTGAGTAAAGGCAGGAAGAGAACACTGCGGAACACGTGAAAAGGCACCCCAAGTTGGCGGAAGTTCTCTAAAGGCCTGGCGTCTCTGTCTACACACTTTTGATCCTCGTTCCCAGGATCTGAAGATTCTCAAAGGGGATCTCTCCTTGGGGAGCTGAGCCACGTAGAGATCCCACTGAAGACGTCCAAACTAACGCTGGATGTGTTATTCGTTGTGAAGAGGAAATTCAGAAAGTTGAGATATGCAGTAAGACAAAAAAAGAGGTTATGGTCATATATCTCCAACATATAAACAGTCTCTTGAGCTAACTTTGTGCATTTTTGGACTTATGTTACATCGGTTTAGAAAACTAATTTAGCATACTAGGAGCATAAGTCTACATAAAGCCAATTCAGTTTTAACAATTTATAGTTGCAAAAAAAAAAATTGAAATGAGTAGGTTTTTAACAACATATTGTTATCTATAAAAACAATCCATGTGTATTGGGTAAATACAGAAACTACAAGAAGAAAATAAAAATCAACAGTAAATCCAGCATCAAAGGAAAATCCCTGCTAACATTTTGAGATTATTTATCCTTGTGTCTTTTTATTCATATATTTAGACATACTTTTTATTGTTATCCTATTGTATATACAGATTTTACATTTCAATATGTTTTTGGATAGGTAAAACATACATGTGGCATTAAATTCAAAAGGCCATACCAAAAATAAAAGACTCCAGATACCCAGGTGCATTCACCAGAGGCAACTAGTTGCCAGTTTATCTTACATTTATTTTTAAAATAAAAATAAGGAATTTATTTTGAAATTCTTTCAGAAAGTAATACATATGTAAATATGTGTATGTAATTTTAGTATAAATTAGAGCCTCTTATCCACACTGCTTTGCACCCTGTTTTATTTGATTGCTATAAATATAGTCCCACAATATCACTAGAGAAAGATCCTTTTTAAAAGCTACATAAAGGGCACCTGGGTGGCTCAGCCGGTTGAGCATCCGACTTTGGCTCAAGTCATGATCTCACAGTTCATGAGTTCAAGCCCCACACCGGGATAGCTGCTCTCAGCTCAGAGCCTTCTTCGGATCCTCTGTCCCACCCTTGCTCTCAAAAATGAATGAACATTAAAAAAAAAAACAAAAAAAAAACACAAGGATATAAAGCTATATAATGTTCCATTGCCTTGACATTGCATATTACCTCATCAGTCTCCTATTAATAAATATTTACACTGGGGCACCAGCTCACTCGCTTAAGTGTCCGACTCTTGGTTGCAACTGAGATCATGATCTCAAGGTTCATGTGTTGGAGCCCTTCATCAAGCTGTGCTGACAGTGCAGAGGCTGCTTGGGATTCTCTCTCTCTCTCTCTCTCTCTCTCTCTCTCAAAATGGATAGAATAAACTTTAAAAAAAATTTACACGGATTCCAAACTTTTTATATATCATATGGTTTTTTTCCCTAGTATTATAGAGTTCAATTTCCCCATGTCATTATACACATTTGACATTTAAGAGTTTAATAAATTACATAATACCAAATTTTATGTATTTATAGTAATTTATTTCATTAATCCCTGGTGGGTAATGATCGTCCTTCTGTACAACAATTTCCTCCCATCTTGCTCAAAATGTTTCTTTGTGATAGATTACTAGACATGTGCCCAAAGGATGCATAACTATTAATGTTCTTACCACGTATTTTCTAATTATTTTCAGGGTAAAAATGATGCCAATCTAGAATCCTACCAGCAGTCCCTATCAGTACTATTAGCATTTTTTTAACTTTAAGTTCTGCCAATAGCATATGTGAAAATATCTTGTTTTCATTATTCATTTCGGTTAATATTAATCAAATGCCACCACACAGCAAGGACAGCTGTCAGCTCTGGACATACAGTAGTGAGCAAAGTACCTTCCTTATGGAGCTTTCATTCAAGGTAGGGAAACATAATAACTGAGTTAACATAATCTCAACTAAGAAGAAGAAAAGCTGTGAGGAAAAAGACAGCAAGGCAAGGAAGAACAGTGCTAAGGGATAGAGGTAAGGACGCCTATTTTGAATAAGGGATCAGGGAGAACCTCTCTGTGCAGGTCACATCCCAGCAGAAACCTCCATGAAATGAAGGAAAGGAAAATGGGGAGAGAGCGCTCGAAACATAGAGGATCGAGGCCCAGAGGAGAGATCCAGCCTGTTCTGGTTGAAGAGCACCAGGAAGGCCAATGGGCTAGTGTAAAGTCGGTGAGGGTAAGAGGCAGAGTGCAGCAGGGACAAGGCATGTAGGGCCTTGTAGACCATGTGAATTTTGTTGTAAGTGTAACAGGAAGCCATTAGACAGTTTTAAGCTTTAGAATAATCTGATCTGACTTAGATTTTCGGCAGGTCATTCTAAAAAAGCAAGATGCAGAACATTGTACACAGTATTCTGCGATCTATGAAAAGAAATGAATATGGTGGTGAGTTCACAGGATAACTCTGGAAGGAAATGCAAGAAACTGGTTGCCTCTGGGGAAAGGAACTGGATGGGATGGGGGACGGGAGAGGGTTCGACTTGGTTTTCACATTATTAATTCTCTCCGGATAATTTTTAAACTGAAAGCTTTAACTTATTTTTAATTAAAATTTTTTTTACCCTGTGTTTGTATTTCCTATCGCAGAGAAACAACCTGTAGCCGCTCTGTGAAGACTTACCTATAGGGGACAAGACAAAGCAAGAAGACAAGACAGGAGGCTGTTAGAGCAGCCCAGGAGAGAAGATGGAAGCCTGACCTGGGATAATGGTGGTACAAGTATGGAGAAGAGATGGGACTCAGGATGTATTTTGAAGACAGACAACTTGCCCACAGACTGGGTGTGGTTGCTCAGAAAGTAGAGAAGCCAACAATGACCCCTCAGGTTTGGGGCCAGAGCAAACCATGTGGAAGATGGCACCTTGGCGAGAGATAGGGCAGACTTGAGAAGGATGAGGGATAGCGGGTGGCCAGGGTACAAACCAAGAAGGGACAGAGATCCAGAACCAAGGGAAGAGAACATTTCAAAGAACGTGGGATCAACATGAAATGCTACCGATAGATCAAATGAGGTGAGAGCTGAGGACTGATTTAGCCAGATGAAGGGCACTGGTCACTTTGACAAGAGCGTTTTTGGGTTTTTTTTTTTTAAGTTTATTTATTTATTTTGGGGAAGAGAGAGAGTGGGGGAGGGGCAGAGAAAGGGTGAGAGAAAATCCCAAGCAGTCTCTGTGCTGTCAGTGCAGAGCCCAGTTCAGGGCTCGAGCCCACAAACTGTGAGATCGTGACCTAAGCCTAGATCAAGGGTCAGATGCTTGCTTAACCAACTGAGCCAACCCGGGCGCCCCAGCAGGAGCAGTCTCAATGGACAGTTGGAGACAAAAGTCTGATTGGAGGGGCGCCTGGGTGGCTCAGTCGATTGGGCATCCGACTTCGGCTCAGGTCATGATCTCTCGGTCCGTGAGTTCGAGCCCCGCGTCGGGCTCTGTGCTGACAGCTCAGAGCCTGGAGCCTGTTTCAGATTCTGCGTCTCCCTCTCTCTCTGACTTTCCCCCATTCGTGCTCTGTCTCTCTGTGTCTCAAAAATGAATAAACGTTAAAAAAATTTTTTTTTAAAAAGTCTGATTGGAAATGTTAACTTCATAATTTTGTCCTATTTTTTTCTATTGATGCTTTAATATTGTTTTCTTATTGAGTTTGTCATACTTATGGTAAATGTTTTCCCTGGTTTATAATTTATTTTGATATTTTAATTTTTTCAATTTTTTTGACAGATTTAGATGTTTACAAACATTTATCGCTGCTTTTATAGTCTTTGACTCTATGATACAATAAAAATGCACCTACATTTGTCTTCTGTTTTTCTTTTACTTGTTCTTATTTTATGTGTAATTTGAATCCATTTTAAGTTATCTGGGGCTAAAGTATAAAGTATCCATCTAAGTTTATTTTTTTCCCCCCGAAGAGTTCATTGTCATTTATTGAGCAATTATTTCTTTCCCTACTATTTTATGATGACATATGTTATGGATTGAAAGGTGTCCCCCAGAAAGATATGTTGAAGCCCTAACACCCAGGACCTCATAGTGAACTAATTACATCATTGCAGATGTAATTAGTTAAGATGAGATCGTGCTGGGGTGGGCCCTTTTCCAATATGACTTGTGTACTTATTAGAAGAAGAAAAGAAACAGATGCAGACAGAACGCCATCTGAAGACTGAGAAACAAAGGGAGAAGATGGCCATGTAAACCTAGTGGCAGAGATTGGGGTCATGCCACCGCAAGCCACAGATCACCAAGGGTGGCTGGCAACCATGAGAACCTAGGAAGAGGGCAAGGCCGGATTCTTCCCTGGAATCTTCACAGGGGGGAGTGCCCTGCTGACATCTCAATTTCAGACTTCTAGCCTCCAGAACTGGGAGAGAATAAATTTCTGTTGTTTTAAGCCATCCAGTTGATGGTACTGGGGTACAGCAGCCCTAGAAAACTAATACGCCCTCTTCATTATATATAAAATCCTTGCTTCTTGGTTCCACTGATTTATATCTAATATTACACCAGTATAGTGCTATTTATTAAGCTTTTTACATTTATTTTAATATTTAATACTTTTCCCTCATTACTTACCTTTTCTGAATTTTCTTAGTAACCCCCCCAAGTTGTTCTTCACAAAGTTTTATTTTTAGAAAGAATATGTCAAGTCCTGTTTCCTCCAAAACACGAACATAGTAATTCCCACACATATAGTGACTTATTACTTAACAACAAAAATTTCCAGTATGATCACATTAAATCATAAAATCTCATTCATTTAAAATACAATGTAGCTTTTTAAAAATTATTTGCATTTCACAATTTACATTTATTCTAGAAAACTAGACAAATGTGTGTTTTAAAAACAATTATAGATCTTAAAGAATAATAAAAATCTTCTATTGCATGTAGTTGAAGGAAACTGTATTTTCAAAAAAATAATAAGGTTATTATTGTTGATAATGCTTGTCTTTGATTCCCACATTATTAAAAATGTTTACAAATTCTTTCCCATCATTCACTTCAAGTAAATGACGTAACAGACATTCTGCCCCGAGGACACATTCCCCACCCACCAGCCTAGTGCCCCAGCTCCAATCATAAATGTTTTCCCAAAATCTTTACCCACCTCACCCAAAGTCTTCCCCACCATATCTTGAATGGATGGACCCCAACAATCCTTCAAGGCCCCCTCAAGTGTTGCTGACACCTTGAAACCTTGAAGCCACCCCAGTTAGAAATAATTTCTGGCCACCCTCCCCCCAACCACTGAACTTGCCTCTTTTTATCTAT